TATTACTTTGTGTGGCTTGCCTTCATGCAAAATCTTGGAATCAATTAAAAGTATTCACTTGGCATAGTCCAAATAAAAAAAAAATCTCGTGTGAACTACTTTCGAGCAAATCACTCATAAAAAAACTTTTAGTTCGAGAATTCCTAAAATCAATTGTAGAGTTCAAAAATTTTTTGCCCCCGATACAAGGCAGTATGTCCAAAAGCACAGAATGCTTAATAAATTGTAACCTGATCACCTTATCCCCAAACCACCCTTATAAAATCCAAATTGTTACTAGGGCCCTTAGATTTACTTTAACATCATATACTTTGCACCACATAGTTTTCATTGCCCAAATTATCAAAGTTTTAATGCGTAACTAACTCCTATCTGAAGGGCTTTTATTACCTATCAGAACAGCAGCATGCGCTATAGCAATCATAGGACCTTTGTCAAGTTTTCAAAATGGTTTTCTTAAATGATTTCAACATCAAACATCAAAAATCAAACCTGTAGAAACTCAAATCAAAAGCCAAAGTCCATATTCAATTAGTAAATTTCCATCAAATATTTAAATCAAATAACCAATTTAAAAAATCAAAATCCATAAAAATTCAAACCAAAAGTCAAAATCCATCAAATATTCAAATCAAATAATCAATTTCATCAAAAGCCAAAGTCCATTTAAATCAAATATCTAAAACCCGCAAAAATTCAAATAATTAATCAAAACCCATGAAAATTCAAATCAAAATTTAAAATCCATCAAATATTTAAATCAAAATCAAGACCTATAAAAAACTCAAATAAAAAACCAAAATCCATATTAACTTTGTAGAATTCTATCAAACATTTGAATCAAATAGCAAATTTAGGCTTCAACATCAATTATCAAAAACCTAAATCCGTAAAACCTCAACAATCTTTTGAATCAAATTGAAATCCATAGGTCAAACCCATACATTTATAGGCCTTCATCAAATCATCAATTCAAATGTCACAACATACAAAGGCCAAACCCATACGAACTTAACATATAAGCATCCATCAAATATCAAAATTGAAATCCATAAAAAAAAAAAAAACTAACAAGCTACAACCAAATCCAAAACCTATTAAATCCTTCGAATTATCAATCACAAATGCATGCATTAATAAGAAATCAAACATCAACTAATGCTATCTATTTTTGGGATGGCACCACTATGTTTTTCTTGTATTTGTTTGATAGTTGTAATTGCCTTCCAAGGCTTGGATTGGTACAACACCATCCAAGCAAATGTTTTACACTACATCAACTTCAACCTTGACTAAAATTTCAGCAGCGAAATCTCCTCCTCCAAACACTTATCCCTCACAAAAATCTTTGTGTGCTCCTTTTTCTTTGTTGTTTGGAAGCTTGCTACCTCCAACAAAGAGGGGTAGCTATAAACACCCAATTTTTGCTTGGTCCCTTTACTCTACCCTCTTTTGAGACTTTCCAAAACCCAAAATACCCTCTTTTGACATAATTCACAAGACAAATAAGAACCTTGAGATCAATATCAACATCCAATCAGACATCATCTCCAGACTTGGAAAACTATAACTTAGTTACACATTAGCTTTCATGATTAAACTGCAAAGATCCACTGTTCATCATGCCAACTTCCTTTCTAACAGCCCCGATCTATGTGATATTCAAATTCCAACTCCTCCAAAATTAAATCCAACATATCCATCACCTTAATATCACTAGGAAACAATCAATTAGCAAATCCCAATATGAATCTACAATAACTAACCACAAAAGCATCAAGTTACCATTTTGATGGCCTTGAACGATTACCAAGGTTGACCATATCTTTCTCAGATCAGAACCATCTACTTGACCCCTCACCCTAAATCCTATTTCAACAAATCATATTAATTAGAACTTACCATCCGACATCCAGACGTCATGGCCAATCAGACCTTACCATTGTATTCGATGACTAAAAAAACCCCAACATATCAAATTTCATAACCAAACACCTTCATTTGACTATTGAAAAAGTAAGATTCCATTTTGGGCCCTTTTATAAGCTAAGACCATGATTTGAACTAAATTAGTTAATCTGTAGCTTTGATCAAAGATCCACCACTTCTATTAGATTCAAGACGTTCAAAAGTGCCAATCCACCAAATTTCATCCCAAAATTCCCCCGTTTGACCCATCATCAAATAATGATTTTGTTTTAGCAAATCTCGTTGATCTTGTCAACCATAGATCTCCATCATTCTGACCCTATTTTCCCAATCAGGCCCCACTACTGTATTTAGAGACTAAAAAAACCCCAACATGTCAAATTTCATGACCATATTCATCTGTTTGACCATTAAACTATAAAGATATCATTTCAATGCACCAGATAAAATTGCCATGTCACTTGTCCCAACTTGAAACCTCAAAAGGGTGATGGCTGATTCCAGACCCATTCTTGATCCATTAGAACACTTGGACCAAACTTACATTTTCTGCCATTGACTGCCCCAGATATGAGACTGCCATGATAGACACACTCCAAGCTCCCATTGAACACACAAAACCCATGAAAATCACCCCCAAAACGAAGAAAATGTTTCACCAAATAGAAAAGCTTGATTGCATATCTATTTCTTTGAAGAATCTTTGCCTATGTGTGTGAAAAACCTCTGTTGAATCCTATGCATTGTATGTAAATGAATTTAGACCTAACCCCCCTCAATTTCTCTATAAATATTTATCTAATTCAAGCTCAAAAGAGGGGAAAGGGGGAGGAAACTTAAGGAAGGCCTAGAGAGAGAGAGAGAGAGAGAGGAAACCTGAGAGAGGGACAAAGAGAGAGAGAGAAAGGAAGAAAAAGAAGGGGAAGAAAACTTGAATGAGGCCTCTAGAGAGAGAGAGAGGAAAAGATAAAGGGGGAGAAAACTAGAAAGAGAAAGATCTAAAGAGAAAAGAGAAGAGCATTTTTCCCAACCTTTGTAATCCTAAAGTTTTGAAGATCAAATTTCAAATCTACCAATTTGTTTTCAGTTACAAGATTTTGAAGCCAAAAAAGTGCATCATCCATCCCAATATCTCATTCAAGCTTATTTGAACTTGTTTCCACTGTTGGAAACTCCTGTCAAGGTATTATGAAAGGTAAGTCTTCATTTTAACTTTTAAACATGATTTCGTAATCTCAGTTTTTTTTTTTTTAGGTTGCTTGAGGTTCTGAAATGTTGGAGAATCATCATTTGCAATTATTCTTGACTGAGAATAGAGGTAGAGAGGCAATGATCTTAGGGAAACCAGTACTTAAGACCCGATAACATCACCTCAAAAATGGTCTTAGGAGCAGTTGAAAACATGTTCCTCTAAATTTAAGAAATTATTACAACTATTTCTGTTTTTTTTTTTCCGAAAGAAATTGAGCTTGAATAACTCCCATATTGGGCTACTACAATAGATTGGAGAGAGGGGTGCCTAATACCTTCCTCTCTTGATCCTTTGAACCCAAAATCTCTCGGTTGTGTGCCTTTTCTATGGAAGACAGAGTCGCTATCAAAAACTTAAATTGAACTTTTCAAATATGAAAATGATGGGTCATTTCCCCTAAAAAAGGGGTGGTGACTCCAACTTTTTGATCCAATCATGAGCTTCCCGGAGCTCACACACCTCTTTTTGCAATAGTCAGGGATCAATTACTGCACGGTTGCACTCCTGCACTTAAGTTCCAATGTAGCTTCCCTAACCTTCCTAGGCTTACTACCCACACTAGGAAAGTGCTCGCATACAAACATTTATAAGAAAACATAGTTCACATAACTAACAACTGAAGGAAACTTACTATGCCAAATACCATCTAAATCAGAATACAAATGACCGAGAAACATAGGAGCTAGAGCATGATACTCCCCCGTGGCCAAAACACATACAACTCTAATATGCTCCTTTTGGATACACTCCTCAAGAGAATTAGGAAAATGAACCAAGAAAGAAGAACAACAATGAAAGCAACCCAAACTCAAGAATCCATCTTCTCTTCATCTTCTTTAGCCTTCCATAGCTAGAAGTCAGACCAACCGTTGATTGAACATTAGGAGGGCTTTCATGCAACGACTTTTGCCTTTGCGAGGTGGGCCCCATATAGGTAGTCTAAAAGTTATGTTTGGTGAAAAACTTGGAAAGCTAAAATATGCTTTCATTTAGTAGTTGTGGACTTTTAGTATAAATAAAAAGCTTTTTTATTGAATAAAAAAGAAAAATCTATTTTCAAAATTTTGATCGGGCTCAGGTTTGGGCATGGACTTTGGGATTTATATGAGAGTTGGGCTCAAGCTCAAGACCTAGTGTTGATGGTTGGGTCGGGTTTGAGCTCGGGCCTGAATGTATCCTGTTGATATATAAGCAAAGCTTGACCTGGCCCGACCCATGAATAGGTCTAATTCTAGACAAGCTATTTGTACGAGTTCCATGTAGGCCCAAGCTTAGAATGCCATAAGCTATGTTCCAAAAGCCTCCCAAACAAGCACTTAGAAAATAGGAATGCAACGGTGCATTATTGGGAGCATATCCCATCAATGAGTTTGGATATGCTTATTGACAAAACATGCTTCACAAATCACATCGACCTCACAATACGTTTCATCCGTGCATTTGAAGCATCTCCCTAATTGTAAATTTTTACTCATGGGAAATGTCTTCATTTCAATGCATGGCTGAAACGTGCTGTAAGGTTGGTGTGAGGCGCACTATATGCGGAGCAGATCCAAATTCCAATAAAATCATTCAATTAGTGAGATGTTTCCGATGTTCTGTTGCAAGGGCTGTAAGGAGGGGTAAGCGTGTGGATCAATTTTGTGGGGACGAAATCCAAACTCCGTTGTTTGTGTCCCAAATATCATTTTCGTAAACGCATGATGATTTGGATTTGAATTGGATCGAGCTAGGCCCTGGGGCCGGGCCTTGATGACCCCGACTTTGGTTGGGAGCTACGAATCTACGACCAGTCCGGGTCTGTGAACCAAGGTTCAAGTTCATCGGTTCATTTTTCCACGCTCAGGCAATCGCCTTGTTTCCTCCCTCGCATTTTTTCTTTTATAGATCTCCCCCATCGACCGGACTGGATCTGTTCCTTCCCCGTCACGATCTCTCTCCTTTCGATTCCAGATCACATCTTCTATCTCTCTCTCTGCAACTCATTCGCACTGAATCTCAGACACTTCGTCTCCTTTGCATTGCTTCCTCTGAATAACGAAAGCGAGTTCTGTCTCTGAGATCAGAATCTGGTTAGATTCATGGTTTCTAGATTGTAAGCATGGACGCACTGCCTTCCTCCCAATCGGGCAGGTTCGCGGTGGTCGACAGTGGCAGTAACATTAGTGGTAATTTCGTCGGTGCTGGTACTAATTCCAACGAATCGAGCCTCAACGTTCTCGGTCGAACAGGTTCGTCACCGATCAAGTCCATCTCCGAAGAATATGCTTCTTCTTCTGTTTCTTCTTCTTCTTATGGCCAGAGCTTAGCTTCGATTCTAAACAATCCACATGTCGGAAAGTCTGGTGTTTATGCATCTGAAGCTTCATGGGTGGGTTGGTTCTCTTCTGCCTCCTCCGTCGGCCCTCCGGAATTGACCCCCTTGACTCTGAACAAGGCGATTTCGTTCACGGAGGTGAACCGATCCGATTTCCAACCTTATCTATCTTCGATTTCGGAGTCTTATGGGAGATTCGAGGACGTCAGGCATCACAGCAGCAGAGAAAACAATGATTTGGTTGAGACCAGTTCGGTTTCATCGTCTAGTGGGGGTGCCGGAGGAGAGGTCAGTCGAGGTCAGGGTGAAGCACTTGTTGCTTGTTTGAGAGAAGTTCCATCTTTGTATTTCAAGGAGGATTTTGCATTGGAAGAGGGGGCGACATTCAGAGCGGCATGCCCATTCTCCACTATTTCTGAGAATTTGGTGTTGCAGGAGAAGCTTTCGCAGTACTTGGATGTGGTGGAGCTCCACTTAGTGAAGGAGATATCCTTGAGGTCTGATTCATTCTTCGAAGCTCAGGGGCAACTACAAGACTTAAATGTCAAGATCGTTGAGGCGTGCGGTCGGATCAGGGAACTGAAGGAGACCATCAGGCTCTTGGATTCAGATTTGGTCGACTCGGCCAGGCAGATTCAGGATTTGAGTGTTACCAGGAGCAATTTGTTGGCTCTCCAACAAAAACTGAGGCTTATATTATACGTTAATCAAGCGCTTTCTGATCTGAAACTGGTAAATGTCCAGATCCCTTATTGTTTTTGTTTGTGTTCGTTGTACTGCTTTCTGTACTTGCTACATTATATTTTCCTAAGCTCTGTGGTCCTGGGTTGGCTTGTTGATGCAAAAACTGGAGAACTGATTGATGCACAATGGGAGAGCTTAATTAATGCAATGCATATTACTAACATCTTTACAATTAAGTTAAACTGGAAGTTGGGCTTTTCGTTCCTTGTTGTTGCTCTGGCCAAGTGCCTATTGCTGGAAAGAGACCATGTCTCTTAATGCAACAGTCGTTATTGATATTTTTCCTATAAGGTCATGTGAACTCATCTCTGATATGTTGTGAACTCATGAAGATTCCTTTATAGCGAACTGCTGGATTATCTATTTGGAATAAGGAACTATCAAATCAGTCACCAGTTCTATTGTCCTTACACATCTCTGTTTTGTCCTGAATTTGTGAAAATTTCTTTTATAGCAAACTGATGGGTTATCCATTAATTTCACCAGGTTTGATGTGGGATGTGGGACGACCTGAGTCTTGTTTTGGGAAGATCTTTGGTTGGCTGAACCTCCCCTCAATTCCACTTACCCTGGCCTATAGTCCTTGTGAAATTATAAACTATAACCCATCTCTTAGAGTCGAGATCATGGTGGTGATGGAAGGGGTAAAGAAGGCCAATGAGTTGAATATTCAAAAGCTAATTGTTTAAGGAGACTTGAAAGTCGAAACTGGTTATAGGATGGCTGCAAAAGGAGAATAGTGGTCTTTGGAAGTTTGCTAATGAAAAAAGGGAGTTTGAATGGGTAACTAGGGGAATAGAGATTCAGCTCCAATGGGTGAAGAGAATTGCTAACTCCTTTGCAGATGCTCTAGCTAAATAGGGGTGGGAAGGGAACAATTATTTTGGGCTTTGTTGTAATTGTTTCTCTGTTTTCTTCCTGGGGAGGGTTAAGAGATTTTATCTCTCCCCTTTGCTTCCCTTGTAATTTCTATTTGGGAAAATTCCCGATTAGTACCCTATACTTTGGGCCTAGTGCCACTTTGGTCCCCGAACTTTAAAATGCGACAATTTAGTACCCGAACTTCTCAAAATGTGTCAATCCAGTACCTATTGTTAACTGGCTGTTAACCAGCCGTTAAGTGGCATTTGAAAAAGACACAAATGTCCTTTGAGTGTCATCTAATTTTCTTTATCAACCATCCAAATGTTGACAAAAAATTAACAATCCCAAATCCTTGCTTCTTCTATTCAAGAAAGTTGGGGTCACATTTGGATGGTTGATAAAGAAAATTAGATGACACTCGAAGGGCACCTGCGTCTTTTTCAAATGTCATTTAACGGCTGGTTAATGGTAGGTACTGGATTGACACGTTTTGAAAGTTCGGGTATTGAACTATCGCATTTTAAAGTTTGGGGACCAAAGTGGCACTAGACCCAAAGTACAGGGTACTAGTCGGGAATTTTTCCTTTCTATTTTCTATAATTAGTTTTTGTTAATGATAAAAAATGTTTGACAAATAATTGATCAAATTTTAATAGCAAATGAATGTGTGGAGGAGATGAGGAGATTGGTCTATCAAGGCTTTGTCTACAAATTGGATCTTGGAAAGGCCTATGACGTAGTGGATTGAAGCTTTCTATTAGAGGTGTTACGGAAGTGTGGGTTTGGGGACAGGTGGTGCAATTGGATAAGTGGTTGCCTTACCTCATGCCATTGTAGGGTGAGTCAATAAAAAATTGGAGAATAGGAAGAAATAGAGTTTTGATGACTCACCTTCAGTTTGCAGATGATATCATTTTTTTTAAGGGTGTGATTTGTTGAAGGTGAGAAATTTGAAGAATCTCATAATTCTCTTTGAGAGTGTCTTTAATTTGAAAATCAAATTTGGTATGGGTTGTTTGGTGGGGTTGAACTTGGGTGTTAGGGAGTTGGAGTCTGTTGCTACTTGTTTAGAGTGCACCATCTCTGTGTGGCCCTTGACCTATTTAGGATTTCCCCTAGGTGCTAACCCAAAGGAAAGTTGATTTTGGAACCCAGCTGGGAAAAGGTTGAAAGATGTGGCTTGGAAAAAGAATTTTATTTTTTCTTAATCATAAAAAAAAAGAATTTTATTTCTTTTGGTGGGGGTAAAGGGACTTTAATTAGGGCCACACTTGCCAACCTGCCAGTGTTTTTTTTTTTTTTTTTTTTTTTTTTCTGTCTTTAGGATTCCTTCTTGGGAGGCTAAGAAGATAGATTGATGAGGGATTTCTTGTGAGAGCAAGGGAAGAGAAAAAAGGATAAGGTGGGAGGTGGTTAGTTGAAGTAAGGATGAAGGGGGGTTAGGATTAGGGAACCTAGCTCATAAGAATGAAGCTCTACTAGGCAAATGGTTATGGTAATGGCCTTTGGAAAGAGAGAGAGGTTATGACATGAGTTGGTGGCTAATATCCACGGCTGTTCTGGAAATGGTTGGGATGTTGGGGTATCTCAACAGGCCATACTTTTAACTCCTTGGAAGGCAATGAATGGTATTCTCCCACAATTCATTAGTTTTGTAAGGTATGACGTTTGCTCTGGTAATTCTGTTCTCTTTTGTGAAGACATTTGGGTGGGCATTGAAAGGCTGTTTTACTTGTGCCTCCTTCATCAAGTCCCTTTACTCTTAACTCCTTTCCTTGGGTGTTTCCAGTCAAAGAAATTTGGTATTGGCTTATTCCCCCTAAAATAGCTGCTTTTTGGGAAGTTTACCACGGTAAGATTAATACTTTGGATAACTTGTAGAAGAAGAGACCATTTTTGTGTTTGTCCCCAAATTGGTGTACTTTATGCAAAGTGCAAAATGAGGACTGTTACCACTTATTGATATCTTGCTCCTTGATGTAGTTATTTGGAATTCGATTTTTTATGTTGTTTGGGTGTAGGTGGAACTTACCATCTGAAGTAATTTTTTTTTCTATTTTTTTGAAAAAGGTAAGATAAATTTATTAAATCAAACTAATAAAAGTACAAAACAGAACCTGCCAACAACAAGGCAGGCCTGAGAAACCCCCATTACAAGCACCAAATTGACTGATTTCTCAGTATCTGAGTTACATTTATGTGTCTTAATTCTGGGGTGACTGAAATCCAAGAGATCAGTTTACCAAAAGCCATATGAACTATATCCTCGGGCCCTCTCAGTCTTTGTTGAAAAATTCTGTTATTTCTCTCAGACCAAATAGCCCAAATCACTGCTGCCGGGATGGAAATCCAGACCAATTTCCCTCTTTTCTTCAAATTACTGAGCTTCCAACTACAAAGCAACTCCTTAACCAATTTAGGCATGACCCAACATATCCCCACAGCCTTCAAGAAGTGATACCACACCTGGGCAGCAAACGGGCAATGAATGCAGAGATGATCCGTAAACTCCAGATGATCATCACAAAGGACACAAGACTTATCCGGGATCTACAATCCTCTTCTTTCAAGATTGGTTCTGGACAGACATTTGTTTAAGGCCATTGTCCAGACAAGGAAATTAACTTTTGATGGGCAAACTGAATTGCAAACCTGCTCAACAGGGAAGTCCCCCTCTGTCACTCTACTATAGAGTCTACTAGCCATAGATTTTATTGAGAAAATACCCTCTTTGGACCAGACCCAATTCCACTGATCATCCTGATTGTAGTCTATGCTTTGAACCTGTAAAATTTCCAACAGTCTCGTAGCTTCTTGAACTTCCCAGTCAAAAAGACCTCTTCTGGACTGGGGAACCCATGTCACCTCATTGCCCAAAATTGTGTAAACTTCAGCTACTGAAGCATTTTGGTTGGAGGCACATTGGTAGATAAGAGGAAACTCTTCAGCCAAGGTATGGTTCAGACACCAATGATCTTTCTAGAATTTGATCTTATCCCCTTTACCGACTTTGAGACTGATTCCCCTATCAAACAAGGGGAAAACCTTCATGATACTTTTCCATAAAGAATAACCCTAGGTAGGTGGGGGGGGGGGGGGTTCTAGTTCTCCAGTTACCCCATTCAACCCCAAATTTAGAAGCAATCGGACTTCTCCACCAAGCTCCCCTTTCGGTGGCAAATCTCCAGATCCATTTACAAAGTAGTGCCGAATTTGTCACCTTAATCCTTCTTCTTCCCAACCCCTCCACAAGAAGTTTTTTTGGAGTCTCTCTATTTTCCTATCCACTTTATCTGGGATAGGGAAAAGGGAAAGAAAATAGGTAGGAAGGTTGGAGAGGGTACTTTTTAGAAGGGTCACTCTACCTCCAAAAAGAAAGGTAATTTGCCTTCCATGAGGACAATTTCTTTTCCAATCTTTCAATTATTGAATTCCAAATGGCATAAGAGGAGCATTTAGCCCCCAATGGAAGGCCCAGATACTTCACCGGAAGCTGATCCACCTAACTAGCCATAATATTAGCACATTCTTCCAGGTTAGGGACCTCACCCACTGGGATAATTTGACTTTTATTAAAATTGACTTTCAAACCAATTACTACTTCAAACCAGCTGAGGATCTCAAGAAGATTTTCCAGCTGTTCATGAGAGGCATCTATAAAGCATAAGGTATCATTTGCAAACTGAAGGATATTCACTTTTTCACCCCCTGGGGAGATTGCAAACCCTTCCCACAACCCCGAATCTGCTGCCTTCTGACTAAAGAGAGTTGGAAATTCAGCAATACAAAAAAAGGGAAGGGGAGATAGGGGGTTTCCCTGCCTTAACCCTGTAGAACTTTCAAAGAAGCCTGCTGATTGGCCATTGATCAGAATGGAGAATTTGGGGGAGGATACACAAACTTTCATCCAGTTTCTCCACTTTTGCCCAAAATTCATTTTTTCTAGAAGTAAATTTGCTTTTTGATCCATCTACTTTTGGGTGGCCCATGAAGAGAGGGAAACTAATGTGGAAATGTATTAGAGCAGCTCTCTTGTGGATTATCTGGGAAGAAAGGAATGCTAGGATATTCCAAAAAAGGAAAGAAGTCTTTCTGAAGTAAAAGAGTGTATTATGACAAGGGCAATTCTTTGGATGAAAAGCTCAACTCTCTTTGAGAGTTATCCCCATGATGATCTTTGGAGGAGTTGGGCAGCAGTGGCTTCCACATCTTCCAAGAAGAATATGATTCAAGCAAGGTGGACACCCCCTCTGGAGGGTGTTGACATGTTGTAAAGTTGAACTTTGATGGGACTAGTCAAGGCAATCCAGGATCTTTGGGTATCAAAGGGACCTTGAGAGATAAGGACATCAACATTCTCTCCATTTTTTCAGGACCAGTGGGAATTGGAGACTCGACAAGGGCTGGGATACTAGCTGCTGTACAAGGAATACAGATTGCTAATCAACTTGGAGTGGAGAGTTTGATAATTGAGGGAGACTCTAAGGTGGTAGTGGGGTGGTTGTCAGATTTGGATACTGTTATTTGCGGTTATAGGGATCTTCTTAGAAAAGTTAACTGGCTTAGAAGGAATAGGACAATTATCAGATTTCAGTGGGTTAGTAGATGGGCAAATGCCTTGGCTGATTCTCTTGCTAAACAAGGGGTTTCTTGGGTTTCTTTGTATTGGGCTACTTTGTAAACTGTAATCTGGTGAGCTATGAAAACTGTAATCATCCTTAAAGAGGAGGAGCATCCCGTGCCTCTTCTTAGACTGATTGTACTCTTTCTTTCTCTTTATTAATGAAAATATCAAAATATCATTCAATTATAAAAAAAAGAATCTCTTAATTTTTTCATATTTGATTTATACAGTTATTTGCTATGATTTTTTGAGCCTTAAATGTGTGATTATATTCTTCTGATGATCTCTTGAAGGTTTGTTAACTAATTTAATGTTTTCAGAAAACTTTCCTAATTTTTTAGATTTTCCAAATATCTTAGCGAAATTTCTCCTACTCTAATTGATCAAAAAAAAAAGTAAAAAATTTCTCCAACTCTACATGCCAAAATATTCATCGATATTGATATCATGAACTGATGATGACGAGACGATGTTGATACTCGTGGCTCGGAGTCCTGGTCTTGCTCCATGTAGGCCCGTGCCCGGGCTATAGCCCTTATCATAATTGTTAAGCCTAGCCTGGCTTGGCCAATGATCACCCCTGATACCTAATAAATGTATGCTTGATTGTTTAAAGTAATGTTCTTCTTCTTCTTATTATTATGGGTCATTTACTAAAACACCTCCTATAGTTTCATGAATTTACTAAACCTACCCTATAGTTTGTGTTTTACTAAAACATTCCCTATAGTTTGCAATGGATTTACTTAATCGACCTTCCATTAGATGAAAGTGGAAATGACAGTTTTAACCCCAACATCCATTCAATTAAATTTAATCAAAAGAAACTAAAAACATTTTCCACTCAGTTTAGGGGTACTTTTGGAATTAGCAACCATGGATCCATGCCCTTGAACATTTTCCACTTAGTGTAGGTGATCATGTTACTATTTTCAGATGGCAAAACAAATATTTCTTAATGAAAGGTCAATTAAGCAAATAGGTTGCAAACTATAAGGGGTGTTTTAGTAAAACGCAAACTATAGGGTAGGTTTAAGTAAATCTGTGAAACTATAGGGGGTGTTCTAGTAAATGACCCTATTATTATTATTTACGAACTTGATAATAATAGAAAAAAACACATTAATAATATGGTTCATAAATTGATCTATTTGTCTTTTATGCAGCTTGTTGCAGCGGCAGATTGTGCTGGAGCTTTGGATGTCACGGATGACTTGCAACATTTACTGGTAAATTTGTGTCTGCAGATGCAATTGTTCTTTCTTTTTTTGTTATTACTTTTTGCATTTCAATTAATTGCTGGAAAGTGTGCAAATGTCATAAAAATGCAATAAATGAATGGAGGAAGCACAATTGAAGGATTCTACTGATAATGGGTAAAAGGATTTGGAAATGATGGGGGCAGCTAAAACAATTTGCTGCTCCCCCTAGTTGTATTCATCACACACTGTGCGCTTTTCTCCAATTGTACTAGGGCAAACACTTTCTTTTTTTTCCTGATCGGATACTAGGGCACATACTTCGAAAACTTAAAGGAGTTCACTACCCAAGATTTGAACTCTGAGAGGGTCATACACAAGGTTTAATCACAAGAAAAAGGCAAAAGCTTGCTAATGGGATACTAACTTTTGTAAGCCTTGGCACCATCTTCATTTTTCCACTCAATGATCTGGTAGTGGTCTCACTCTTTCTAGACTGAAGTAAGGGCAGAATAGTAAGCAGACAAATTGTGATTTCCTTGCTTATAGGTAGAGGACTTAGCCTGCAATTGATAAATTTTGGCATAATGCCTTTGTTAAGGGTAAGTCGACTTGATCTGTTCCTATATTTCACAAGCTGTGTCTGCCCATTTGAAATTCTTCCTCACTATATTGTTTTCACAAGCTATGCTACATAGGTACAAGAAGCCCAGACATAACTATATTGTTTTCTTGGTCCCATCTATCATGTTCAGGAGTCTTAGTCTAAAGTTCTTTCATCTTTCTATTAATATAACCAGCTTTCCTCTTGTTGTAATATAAAATTTGATGCCCATAGATCACTGTTTTGACCTAGGAACCGGTTATATTACAGCAATTCAATGCTTTGGGTCCGGTTTTGGATTGGACCACTTTCTTGAAAAAACATTGAATTGGTCAGAGAACTGCTAACTCAGGCGGTTGAATCGTTAAACCGTTCAACTTGGGCAGCGGTTCGTGGTTTAATAAAAAATTATACTTTTTTTAAGGAAGCATTTATAGAGGAAATAAAGAGATTGAGAGATGGTGGAGGGACTGAGACGAGATCTCAGATCTGAGATCACTGAGATCCAAAAGAGAGAGAAGTGAGATCTCAAGTTTGAGATCACAGAGAGAGAGAGAGAGAGATCCGAAAGGGTTGGTGAATGTCGCCTCCTCTTCCTTCTTCTCCTCCTCTTTCTCCTACCTTCATTCCTTTCTCAGCGGACAACCACCTACTCTCTTTTCTCATAAAAGAGTAATGTATGTATGTATGTATGTGATCCCTTTTTACCCTAATATTCCAGTCTAAAGGTTAAATTTATCAAACCACTTGAACTGTTCAACCCGGAAGGTCGAACCGCTGACCCAGAAACCGGTGGTCAAAGCGGTTCTGTTTCTGGGTTGTTTTTAAAACTTTACCTGAGACCACTCCAAATAGTTCAATCTATCTAAGGGGGGTGATAGGCATAGGGAAATTCATGCTGTCCATCCCAACATTAAGTGTTTCCCAAGATGATGTAACCCTGAAAGAAGGTGAATCTTCAGGTGCCATTAGACCAATCACCCAAAACACTAGAGAAAAAAGGGCTGAAGCAAAAAATGAAAAATTCAATATCAACACAACCAAGAGAAGAAACACTACTAAGCTTAATCACACTGCTATGACTAATTGCAGAGCAAGGGAACACTTCATTTCTAGGATTGGTAGGAGATAACAGAGATGACTTGGTCAGAGTGTTCAGGGAATTCCATAGGAGGGGCGGGCATAAACAGCCTGGGAATGAACTTGACTTTCATAGCTTTGGTCCCTAAGAAAATTGGTGCTGTTCACCCTAAGGATATTCGACCTATCAGTTTGGTTACGACTTACGAGCATATACAAAATAATTGCTAAGGTCCTGTCTCTCAGAGTGAAGAAGGTTATTCTCTCGTTTATCTCTCAGTTTCAAGGGGCTTTTGTTCGGGATAGGCAAATTGTAGATCATATTTTAATCAAGGTTTAAAATGTCGATGTCGATGGAAACATCGCTTACCAAAATATAGGACATATGTCGGAAATGTCAGAAATGTGGAGGGGAAATATTGTAAAAATTAGAGACATTGTGGAAGTATTATGAAATATGTGGAAATATGCAAAGATATTTTGTAAAATGATAAAAGAAGCATTAATACATATTTCTAGACTATTATCTTATTCCCAACCATTATATAAAGCTAAGAAACTAAGATCAATAACAAATTAGTAAATGACGATTTACATTGATCTATTAT